GTGTTACAGAAACTAAATCTTAAAATGTGAAAGAAAGAGAGGGAAAGATGGGAGGAGAAAAAGATGAAGGAATGGAGGGAGGGAGGAAGAAAGGAAGGAAAGAAGAAAGGAAGAAGGGAGGCAGGGAAGAAAAGAGAAGGGGGGTGGGTAAAATATGTGCTTCTTCAGGGCTGGTATTTAGCATGCAGATGCTAACATGGCTGCGCAAGTTGTTAAAATATTGAAATAATCTTATACCATTTGGCCATTGCTTCCCTGAACTCCCTAAGTGGCCCCTTTCCTAATAATGGGGTAATCCAAGCATGAAGACCTGGCACAGGGGGTGCTGCCAGCCTCTGCTTTAGCTCCAGTCCTGGCATCTGGTCGCCACAGTCAGTGCCTGTGCCTCAGCAGGGGTTCGATGCTTTGAACAGCACCTCTGGGTTTACCCAACTGAATCCCCAAGTAGCCCGTGTAGAGAAGAGACACATTCTAGGACCTGAGTCACCTTACCTTTGATGTGGCAGACCCTTCTGGGATGGGGGGTGTGCCTGACTAGATAACAACTTCCATTTCTAGACACACTGTGGCTGCCTTTGCTCTCAAATTGAGGAGTAGATGCTGGGGTATTGAGGCTCATGTTCACGGAGTGTTGGTTTCTCCCTCTCCACTGTTGCCACAAAATGCCTTGGGGTCTACCTTAGCCTGGCTTCCACTTCCAAAGGTGCTCATACCCTGAAATCACAGAATGACAATCGTTCCGTCAAGGGGTTCTTGACATTTTCTTACACAGCAATTATTTCTCCACCTTCTTTGTTTGCACTAAATTATTTCTCGTTTCAAAGCAATGTGAAGCTATTCTGCTTTTGGACCACATTTTTTGTAAACTTTGAAATCAATCTAGGCATGGGTGGAACAGAAAAATTTTCTCCTGGAAAAATCAAAACATTTGAGAGAAACTTAGAGTATATTCTATATTGAATTGCATTTAAGGTCACTTGGTTGACTTTCCAACATAAAAATAGATAACATCGCCCTAACCAGTTTGGCTCAATGGATAGAGCGTCGGCCTGCGGACTCAAGGGTCCCAGGTTCGATTCGCATTTAAGGTCACTTGGTTGACTTTCCAACATAAAAATAGATAACATGGTTATTATCAATTTTAATATAGTAAATTACAATAATAGTTTTAAAATACAATACCCATGAAAGTGCTTTACATTAAATTAACTTTAAATAAGGACCTTTCCTATTGTACTTTAGTAAAATCTGCATCTTAAATTTGTGTCATCTTCTGAGAAGATGGTAAAATCTGAAGAAGAAAAAAAGCCCAATAGCAAAAGAATGATATGACATTTACAAGCTGCAGAACCTTTGGCATGTTGTTCTTTGCAGTATTCAGTACTATTTAATGATATTCCCTCAATCACTCAGCAATCATTTATTAGGCACATACAGTGCCATAGTCCTAAGGGATAAAAGATAATGTTATGGCTCTTGGGGAATTCACAATCATTTGGGAAAGAAAATTTCTGGATTAGGAACCTAAGAAAGAGTTATTTAACTTTTCTTAAAGATGGTATACTGGTCTTGAAATTTAAGAAGGAGTTTTTTGTGTGTTCATTGTATGTTTTCTATCTTACATAAAAATCTTATTTATCACAGCACTATTAGGAAATATACATTTTATTTTTAACCGAGGCAGGGAGTTTTTCTGGTCAGAATAATTTGCGGTGTCAAAATATTTCCATATTCTAGAAAGTGATTTCAAGAATTTGTTGGGGCAGGTATTTTTAGTTCATTGACTATCTTTCTAGGCTAGAGTAATCTGTATTCAAGCTTTTCAAGGTATATATTCAGAGTGTATGGTATAGTAATTACTAGCCCTGTTGCCACAAAACATCTGATTTTCATAAATTATAAAATTATTCTGGCTGAATAAAATATATTTCAATATTTTAAATTCATAAAGTGTTACATAACAATAAATATATTTTCTTATTGTTACTTATGAGTAATTAGGAGGTAGTTCTAGCCTCTTTGTGAAAATTAAACCTTAAACTTACTCGTTCTTCTTTCTATGTGAGACTTTTGTACAATCAGGTCGGTAAATTAATTTTTTTTTGTATTGGGGAAAAATGGCACAGTAGGCAGTTTGGAGAGTGAAAAGGATGTAGAGCTATAATTAAAAAGTGGGATTTATGGTCCCAGCTTTGCCATTAATGAGCAAAGTAACCATGGGTGGCTTGCTTTATGTCCTAGGTTTTGGCTTGCTCATTTGAAACCCGTAAGTCATTACATGTCTGCTGGAATATTTAGCTATCCTACGATGTGTTTTTCCCACATTAACTCTCTTAGTTAATTTGAAGGATAGTGAAGTACTTTAAATTCTGGTATAAAAGGTAAAAAAGCAAACAGTGCAAAGAATTATTCTTCCTCCTAGAAAATTGCAGAGTAGTCTGAAATTCATCTTGCTCTTATATTTCAAAAGGTATACAGTGCTTATAGAAAATTTAATAATCTGATGTTATAGCTTTTATTGTTTCTATTAAAAGTTTCAAAATAATGTTAAAGTAATAAAGGTAAAGTATAAATATTTTATCCTCATATATCATTTAAAGTTCTACAAAACTTAACATATACATTATGTACTATTGTATGTCTTATTTAAACTTCAAAGTTTTTACAGGTGAAGTAAGTGAATAACTCAGGACAAAGCTATACTTTGATTTGTTCTAGAAAGTAATATAATGGTTATAAAATAAAACTACCCTCAAACTTGAGGAAAAGCAAAATTATGTTTTTCTCTGTGCAAGACACTGTCGAAAGAATGAAAATTAAGGGAGAAAATATTTGCAAAACACAGACTGAGATAAAGGACTTGTAACCAAAATATACAAAGAGCACTTAAAACTCAACAGTAAGAAAACAAATAGCCCAATTAAAAACTGGGCAAAAAATCTGAACAAACACCTCGTCAAAGAAGATCATCAGATGGCAAATAAGCATGCATATGAAGAGATACTCAACATCATTGTCATTAGGGAATAAAAAATTCAAACAACAATAGATACCACTATATATGTATGAGAATGGCTGAAGTCCAAAACACTGACAGCAACAAATGCTGACAAGAATGTGGAGCATCAGGAACTCTTATTCTTCTTAGGGGGATGCAAAATAGCACAGTCGCTTTGGAAGACATATTGGTAGTTTCTTACAGAGATAAACAGTTTTACCATGTGACCCAGCAATTAGGTTCTTTGGTGTCTACCCAAAGAGTTGAAAGCTTATGTCCACACAGAAACCTACACATGAATGTTTATTCATAATTGCCAAAATGGAAGGTGTCCTTCGACAGTGAATGGATAAACTGTGGTACATCCATACAATGGAGTACTCTTCAGTGCTAGAAAGAAATGAGTTATCAAGCCATGAAATGACATGGAGGAAACTTAAATGCTTATTGCTAAATGAAAGAAGCCAATCTGAAAAGACTACACATTGTATGATTTCAACTACGTGACATTCTGGAAAAAACAAAACAATGCAGTGAGTAAAAAGATCAGTGGATACCAGGAGTCCCAAAGGGAAATGGGGAGTAATGAATTGGTGGAGCACAGGGATTTTTAGGGCCGTGAAACTAATCTATACTATACTGTTCTATACTGTAATAGTGGACACAGGACATTATGTATTTGTTGAAATTCATAGAACAAAGTAAAGTGAACTCTAATGTAAACGATGGACTTTTTGTTAATAATAATGTACAATATTGGTTCAGCAGTTGTAGCAGCTTTACCACACTAACGCAAATGTTAATAATCGGTGAAACTTGGCAGGGGGGATTTATACAGGGTGTCTCTCCAAAATGTAAACACACTTTAACAGCTAATAGCTCAATTGATGTTTCTTTCTTTTTAGATTTAATCTATTATGCCTTTATAATTATTCAAAGTGTGTATACACTTTTGGGGGGATACCTTGTATGTGGAACTCACTGTACTATCTGTTCAATTTTTCTGTAAGTTTAAAAACTACTCTACAAATAGTCTTTGATTTTTTTAAAATCTACCTTCATAGCCTGAAGAAAAGCAAAACTATTTTGCCTACTATTAATAATGACTACATCTTTCTCTTTCACTTGTTGTCTGTACTGATTTCAACACTTTAATTCACTGATAATATTGTCCAGTGATTTTCATGGATATCTTTACAAAGTCCATGGATTGCTTTGGACTATTTCTCTATTAAGATTTCTCTTTATAACAAGCATTAATTTTAGGTTGTAATTTTTAAGACTTATAAACACAGAAGAAATTAAAGAATTATTTATTCTCATACAAAAAGGTAGATATTTCTTCCCCAAAGACAAGAGAAATATGAAAAGGATATATTATTAAAATAAAGAATTAATACAAAATAAAGAATTAACAGGAGTGGATACCAGGAAATAAATTATTTATTAATTGATAAACATTATCTTTATTGGTGAATCGTAAATCTTATTTACTTTGTAATGAAGTGACTAAAATTTTTTCTAAATCAATATTAGAGAAACCCATCAATGCAAAACTGGTCAATGTATGTCATGGATGGATTCTGTAGACTAACTCAGTTAGAGTTATTTATACAAATGGGCTATGGATCACTTATGATGGCTCAAATACAGTTTAGTGATAAATAATAGGTGTATTTTGAGAAAACACACAAGGAAAACAAAAAACACGCACTTGTTTCCAGTATTTTAGCTTAATAGGTATTTGCTATATAATATTGAGCAACAGTGCTCAGCCTATTTTCCCCACCATGATAAGCATAACAGATGATGTTCACATAAAAGGCAGATTCCCATCATGTGTTCAGCTTTTAAAGAATGCATCCCCAAATTGTGGGGAAGCAAAGTACTAAAAACAAATTTTCAATCACCACAACTATGGTGTGTCAGTAACTGTTGCTCAGAAGAGCTTTCTAAACAGGTTTTAATGCCAATGTTCCCAATCAGGTAAGCACGTGGCATTGCAACCAAAGCCAGAGATACTGTTAGAAAATCACCCTTCTTGGTATTAATAATTCCTTTTAAAAACTAAATAATTTGTGAGCATAAATATTTTGGTTATTATCAGTAAATATCCAGAGTCTCAGCTCACTACCTGTGTATTGCAAAAACTAGGCTGAGACCTCCTGACTTCAAAGACACACCCAAAAGATTTGCTGAGTAAAAGTAGCTGCATTCCATTTATAATTCTATTTTAATTGTGATGCTAACACTCTGAAGAGGAAAAGAAAAACCCATCTAGAGGTAACTCTGTGGAGAGAGCTAATTAAAATTACTATTCACCTTTCAGAGAACTGTGCAAGTACTTCTGGGACAATATTTCCTTCCCTGTAATCTCTTGAATTTAGATGCTATATAATAAAACCCTAATATGCAAATCGACCAAACGGTGGAACGACTAGTCCAGTGATGGTGAACCTTTTGAGCTCGGCGTGTCAGCATTTTGAAAAACCCTAACTTAACTCTGGTGCCGTGTCACATGTAGAAATTTTTTGATATTTGCAACCATAGTAAAACAAAGACTTATATTTTTGATATTTATTTTATATATTTAAATGCCATTTAACAAAGAAAAATCAACC